TTGGTTATCATTTCGTCAAATAAATAATTATTTATTACGTATTTAATAAAACATACCGACTTATTTATAAGAAAGCTAGTGTACGTCTACTGGTCGAAATGGGACTATAAAATTTACTTATCTATTTATTTAAAAAAACTAATTGTTTCAAAAAAAATTATGGCAGCTCGTCAATGGCTACTAAAAAATTTTTTTTTATTTGACTTATACATATATAAATAGGTGTTAAAGAAAGTTTGAGGGTTTCGAAATTTAAAGCTTAGGTCAACATTTATTCTTTTTTACCATCTTCTTTAATTTCAGTCACAAATAAATATATCAAACACTTGCATTGCCCGCGGCTCCGCCCGCGTTCAGATGACAAAAAACCAAATTCTAAGATTTTACATATTAGTACTATACTCTTACAATGCAGTTTTAGTGTTTTTGTGTTTTTTCTCAGAAATGAGATATTTTCCCGCGGTAAAAAGTTGCCTATATGTTGACCCAGATAACCAGCTATCATCATACCAAATTTCATCAAAATCTGTCCAGTGGTTTTCTTGTGATGCGGTAACAGACAGACTGAAAGACAGAGATACAAACAGACAGACAGACAAAAAGTCTAAAAACTATAGATTCGGACTCTGTATCGATAATAATGTCTATTTCAATTAGATTTCCCAAAAAATATTTAATGTACAGATTTGACTTAGTTAGAATTTAATATATGTTAAGATAAAGAACATGAAAACGACATGATACATTTAATACAGTTGGTTTAAGCCTGTATATCTCAAAGCTCTCAAACTTTCTTTAAATCACATTAAGCATTTAATCAACTTGTTATTCTTTAGCCCTCAACAAAATTGTACAAGAAATAGAAGATTATCTGTGTGAATGATGACGATATTTGATTTTCTCCTCTAATATTTTTATATGAAACAATGAGATAAGGGGATGTTACAAATTACAATTTCTTGTCGAGGTTGATATCTGAAAAAGTGCTTTCATTAAGTTTTATCTAAGGCCGTGTCCCAATAAATAGCGTTGGCCTAGTTAGAGTTGTGTAACATTTTCGTTAACTAATCTAGACCGATTCTTCAAACGATTTGTAGCCAAAATATTTTATTAGCATTATTTATTTTTATTAGTAAGAAGAAATTTAAAATGCTTAACCGAGTGTAAAAAGAAGGAGGTACCACTACCTACTCTATAAGAATAAATATATTGTTTTCTTTTCAGTGTATGTTATAATGATCACCACTGAAGATATTGATTTGTGTTAAAACTAAAAAATCTTTTTGTACGTGCAATAAAAAAAAGTTCATTAAAAAGTAATTATTTCTTTAATAATTCTTATCTATTTACATTTGATTAAAAAGATAAGGAGTTCAATATATTACATTATATATTTTTTTTAAATGTTAAGTCATATTTAATGCTTTACAACTTTAACTTTAGGAGTAATGTAAACTAATATTTGTCACTCTATGAGTCTATTCTGTAAGAACTTTTATGTAATACGATAGCTGAATCTGCGCTTATACTTCATACAACTTGCATAAATTATATTGCTACTATTATAAAACGATTCATATACATATAACACATGATGGAACGAAATTGCACAAAATTGCCAGTAGGTACGTGTATATATACGTGCAATTTTGCTTCAATATATTAAGGGCATAACACGTGAGAACTCGTAATTCTCTATTAAAATATAACTGATTAATGATTTACTCTTACTTCGCTTGGGTGTCTTATGTATTTATTATATACCTATAATTTACTTAGCCTATGAGTTAGTCTAGACCACGATCTATCTGTGTACTAAATTTCATCTTAATCCGTTCAGCCGTTTCGTCGTCAAGAAGTATCAAACAAACAAACAAACACTCATACAAACTTTCGCATTTATAACAGTGGAGTGGCTTTTAGAGAATTTAAATGTTCCGTGCGAGGCATACATAACCATCACTATAGTATCCACTTATCGTCGATTTAGGAACAATGTATGCTAGGTGACTTACTTTACGGTAAGTTTACTGCAACTAATTATTTTTGACCTAATTCAGCTTGTATATCGAAAGACTGACAAACACACAGCGAGTCTTTTACTCTCTAATAACTTAACACTTTTTTTCGTAAAACGTGTTGTAAATTAAATCGAATTAGTATAAATTTAATTATGATTTAGAGCAATAGAAATAAATATTTAAAATTAAATTAAATAAGCATTTAAAGTAAACAATCCTCATATTTGTCAAAGACAAAAGTGGGTTTCAGCCTCGAAACAAACATTTTATGGTTAGCTACTATTCAACACTTCTGATTATAATCTAACTGATGTTGTGTTCGTAGAAGTGGCGTAGCATTTATTTCTATGCAAGAATTAGTCACTTTTAATTTAGTTCCAAGATTACGTATAGGCATAAAATTTTGCGAAAAAGGAAACTTTAATATTTAAAGCATAGACATATTATATCTATATATCATATAATAAAATTGTAACTAAGCCGAATCTGTACATTAAATATATTTTGGAAAATCTTATTGAAATAGACATTATTATCGCTACAGAGGCCGAATCTATAGTTTTTAGAATTTTTGTCTGTCTGTCTGTCTGTTACCGTATCACAGAAAAACCACTGGAGAGATTTTGATGAAATTTGATATGATAATAGCTTGTTGTCCGGGTCAACATATAGGAGACTTTTTACCGCGGGAAAATATCTTGTTTATGAGAAAAAATACAAAAACTGCATTGTAAGAGTATACTAACATGTAAAACCTAAAAATTGGTTTTTCGTCATCTGAACGCGGGCGGAGCCGCAGGCAATGCTAGTATTATATAACATTTAAATTACAGTAATTTATAGAAAATGAGTATTTATTGAGATTAATATTTTTGTCCAATGCATTTTCTTCTAGTAAAGTTAAGGTTAATAAAAAGAAGACTTTTTCAGCGGTTTGATGTTATGTGCAAAGGGCAAGATAAACTCAGTAGAAATCCAATTTCTTTGAAGGCAGTCAAGCGATGTCAGCTTATTCTGAAATGTAGAGATACACTGAAGGTTTAAATTTTTTTTATTTATAAAAAAAAATTACAGATATACTTAATTATATAAACAAAACAAATGTACACTTAGTTATTACTGTACAATTCATATCCGCGTGGAATAGGGGCAAGAATGTTAGCTGCATTTCCCTGTTGAATGGCAATGCCGATCATTGGGCGAAAAATGAGCCAGCTCTCCTATCACCAGTAGAGGCGATAAGACAATGTGTTATGTCTAAAACTGAAAATTAAAAATCAAGAAAATGATGCATCTTGGACATGCACAATTCGGGGCAAAAATGATTGACGAACAAATGATCAAAAAAATACATATATCGTAGAAGAAGTAGTGGAAGCCGAATTAAGGGTAAACCATGAGGGACTTTTAAAGACCAAATGTTATACTTAAAGAAGGTCAGGTCAAAATTCTTATAATGTTTCGGCCTCCAATGATCGTAAATAAAGAGATTGATGGCAAGGGAAAAGGTGAAAATGGAATAGAACAACGCTTGGTTCCACGTGTTGTCTATTTCGCATTGGATATAACCTAGATTTATATTTATTAAGAATCAACATGTTGATAAAAATATGAAAATCCAATAATATAACTATAAAGTAAGTAAAACAAAAAAATGCAGACACAATTGATTTATGATTACATATATCTTAGCCAGATGGTAATGCAAATGAAAGACAAAAAAATCGCACTTGTAACACCCTGAACACCACGTTCATGTGGCGATAGCATTAAGTAAGCTGCTTGAATCGAATAATTTCATTTTAATCTATTATAATCCATAATACTTAGTCATAAGGAACAAAATCATTTGAAATACAACAATGTACTTCCAATATCCCATCATATAAAATGTTATACCAAGAAAAAGGGAAATTAATAGCTATGTTTTTAATGACAAAAACTTAATTTTAAATTGGGTTTAATCGTTACATAAAATGGTTTGTTCAAATATATTTTTTTGTATAATGCTACGAGATTTTAATTAATTTTTATTATAATATCATTTTGAACCATGTTCTAAGTAATACTTTCTTAGATTTACGGGAATGTTTGATACTTTAAAGAAAACTATCTTTTCGGAGTTGTTTCCCGTATTTATTTAAAATGTCACTTTCTATGCTTTTTTATTTATTTAATACTGCTATGCTGTTATTTATAAATGTTATAGGATCTCATAGATAGTAATATTTACATTACTATCCATGAGATCAATAATTCGGTCGCATTGACCCATATAGGGGAAGATTGAAAGTAACAAAAAGTCCGAAGTCGGAATGCAATGACTCCAATGCTCAGTTTTCAGTCACGCGATTTGTTCGCGTCGTAAGCTCACTGCCAACTATTGTAGAATTAGAATAAAAGAGAATTGGCACTACACTTTTCAACATTTATATCTTTCTACATATACCTATTTTTGAAAAATCAATATTTTAAATTAAGCCAAAGTTTATAAAATCTTTAATTTATTTATAAATGTGGTTTCAAATAGACATAAAAATCTAAAATATGTACTAAGAACATTATTTTTATCACGAAAATATTGCCATTTTATGGACAGTAAATTTTTATAGAAACACTCAATTGTAATGGCAAATAAATTCTCTTGTGCCACTTCTAACAATTTTTAAAACAAACAACCAATTCCTTGGTTTCTATAACGACGGACAGCCCTACTGTTTACGAGCCGAAGTCTGCACAAGAACTAGTAACGCACCACCTTCGAAAGTGAACTACCGCCTCAGTCAAATAATAGTGTTGTACAGTAACTTTATTATAGCAATATTTCTAGTTTTTATCGTAGAATAAAAGTATTGTATAATCAATGGCACAATAATCAAACATTTACGTCAATAAAAAGTGAATGGAAAACGTTGAGAGGACAATTTTTTAAGCAAAATGGAGATGATTCTTATAGTATTATTGAATATTATGTCAAATATGGTATTAACTGCGAAAGAACCAAAGCAAATTAATCTAGCAAATCAAGGTACAATAGCGGGTATGTACATAACTAGATTTAGGACAAAGAAAATAGAAGCTTACGTGGGTATACCTTACGCGCAACCACCTTTAGAGTTCAGACGCTTTGCTGCTCCAGAATACACAGATCTTCCTCAATGGGAAGGTGTAAGAAACGCTACGATTTATGCGCCAGATTGTGTGCAAAGTGATCCAAAGAAAGAGGATGTACAACGCCCCTTGAACAAGCATGATGAATTGTTTGGAAAATTGCTCGAATCGCAAATGGAGGAACCGCGGAAAAAGGAATATTCGGAAGATTGTTTATACCTCAACGTTTATGTCCCTGATGGTAAGTAAATCATGTCTATCACACAATTCTATTGTAAACCTTAATAAGTATAACAGTGATTATAGCAACATTGATTAAAGGGAGATAAAAAAAAAATATTATGTGTGCTTATTCTATGTGATCTTCTACTGTTTTGCTACAATGTCTATAAGAAATTGTGGTCATCATTTATCTAATATAGATTCCATAAAATATATATGAGCAAATTACACTAAATTGTTCATGTATCTACGAGTATATAAATAAAAATGAATCACCGAAATGTATGTACACGCATAACTTCCGATCGACTACACCAAATTATTTTTTTTTTATTTTGCTATAATTGTCAGGAAAAATTTTGTATAGAAGAAAATTAAAAGATTTTTTTTAATAAAATTAGACTTTTTTAGATCTCATGATATGAAAGGTAAGTGAGTGAAATAGTTTTCATCCCGGAAATCATCCCTTAAGGGGGTTAGAATGGGGATGAAATTTTGTATGGGGAAGCAAGCTAGCTACGAACCTGACCGAAGCGAGGGTGAGTCGCTAGTTAAGTACAATAAAAGAGGACAGTGTTTGACTGTAACCACAACCGACCAAAAAACGGTAAACCACCTAATCTAATGTTAGCCTACTTTTTAAAAATACACGTGATTTCCCCTCGATCAGATAAGAGCTATTTCGCTGTGTGGTATTTCTGTTACGATATATCTAGCTGACCCTCCATAATTAGTGGGCGAAATTAAAGACTTAACGATGAATCATTTTTTTTACCTTTGCTTCATTTTTATACCATGCATGGTATAAAAATGTGTAACCTAAAAATCTATGTTCTCATTACCCATTCTCTTTCTTAGATTTACGCGAATATTTGACATCTATACTTCCATACAAATATTATAAATGTGAAAGTGTGTTTGTTTGTCTTTCTTTCACATCGCAACGGAGTAACGGATTGGCGTGATTTTTGGTGTTTTTTTTTATTGCGGGAGATCATCTCATTTTCACTGGAAAACACGTTATAATACAATATAAAAAAATATTTATTATAAGAATTACTTGAAGTTCGGTATAAATGTTCTTCAATAAAATTAAATAAACATGTGTTTTATCATTTTTCGAAATTCATCCTATAATAGGCTAAAATAGGGCTGAAAATTTGTATGAAACTACCTTTTTAGAGTTTTTTTGTAGTTTTAGCGCGAGCGAAGCCGCGGATTCTGCTAGTTTTAAATAAAAATATCTTTTCTATCTATTCTTTTCTTACAGCAATCATGGTCACGGGAGGGATAGTTTGATATGGAATATATTATAATTAATCAAAATAAATCCACGAAAAAATCCGAAAAGATATAGACGAATATATTAGTAGTATTCTTTACTTAAACGTTTCACAATAAAATTAAGCTATTTCAAATAATTTTTTCGCGGAGATATTTTGATTTTTGGTTTCCGACGTTTCGAATGCTTTACAGCAATCATGGTCACAAGAAAGACTGTCTCTCTAAATAGATAATATATAGATATTAGTATAAACATATACAAAGTGGCCTCACCCAGAACTCGAATTTCGAACCCAGGTAAAGGAACCTCATGATCTGCAGTAATATTTTGCGTTATCTGTTCTAACATATTAATTTGCTATTGTCACTAATAAAAATTAGGCTAGATCTAAGTAATTTCAAAATAACTTTAACGAATATTACGGTTTATTTTTTTTATGACATTAACTAACTCTGACTAACGTAGCAGAGACTTGTTGAGTCATTGCTAAGCCTAATTCATCCTTTTATCTTATATATAAACCTATTACGAAGTTTTAGATATTTATTTTATCACACAAGTAAGACAGACTTTTACTAATATTATTGCGAAATAAATAAAGTAAAATATTAGTTTTTAGGTAATATATATACTTAAATATTACTTAAATGAAATATTACGAAGTATACATATGAATATAAAAAATGATATGATTTTTAATAGTAATCAGATTTGTCTTCAGTTTTGCCACAAGTACTATTAATGATTGCGTATTTAAAATTTAAAAGATTGAGAATTTCTTTTACAATCTTTGGATGGCACTTTTAGATTTTATTCTCCTTATACTTATGATGCTCTATGTAGGGTCGGTACGATTTATTTTCCTCTATTACGAGTACTCCTTAATATCTATCATGTCACAGGTTTACACAAGGTCTTTCCAACTTTTTGTAATACATTCGTATCTGATCTCGTCCCTTTTATCATTGGTTTAACCGACTTCCAAACAACGACAAAACCGACAACCTTTTAAGATATGAATATCTCATAGGTAAATATGTGTTTTACGTATCGAAACATATTAGATTTGCTTTGCATCGGCTGGCACCGACTTCGAAAATATCTGATTAGGTATCTATTCTAAATGAAAACCCCCGTTTAGTTATCTTTTACATTTTAGTGCCTGGAAGTCGGTTTTTATTTTATTTTTTAAAGCTTTATCCCAAGAAATTAAAATTAAACCTACCTTAGATTTTTATTTCGGATTGAAATCCGACAATGTATAATACACGAACACGCGCAAATATAATAACTGTTATTACGGCTTCGTACTCAAAACCTGGTATATTATGTGTGACCTACTTCAAAAAGGAAGAGAAATGTATTTATTTCTGCTATATATATATATATATATATATATATTTTGTGTATATTACGTTGTGTATGATATCTTCATCGAATTTTAAACTTTCATTATTTTCGAAATCACCCTTAGGTACCAAGTAGCTCTATAAGTCTCATATAGCTTTAAAGAAAAAAACTCACCGCTAAACACGGGGTATGATTACTTTTAAAATAATTTCGAAATCAGTGTCTTTTTAATTAAAAAGAAAAACAATTAATGTTCTAATGTAGAATTTAAAAATGCAACAAAGCTTATTGTTTTATCCTTCTCTATCTTTACCAACATTACGTAAAAAAATCACTGGCAAACTTCCGTCTGTACGTATGTACACTGATACGTTATATTGTAAAACTACTGAACGAACTTGGATGCGGTTTTAATATATTAAGAACTACCCTAGCACTTAAAGAAGCTGAAAATAGACAGTACATATTAGCCAGTCAAGTCAAAGCAGTGTATGACAAATATGTAGACCTCTAACAATTCTACAGAAAATATTAGCTCATAATAATAGTTTGGAAGAAAAAAATTAAGATGTAAATAAAAGTGAAGTAGAAAAACATGAAAATAGCCATCTGACGGCGTGAGTACAATCATAAAATAAAAATCTTTACAAAAATGTGACTGTTACAAGCAATAATATTAAAACTGAAGCATTCTCAAGTTATATTTAAGTGGCCGTAAGGACCAATTACCTGAATTTGTTTCTATTGGAGTAGGGATTTATGTATTATTATCTCCAATATAGTTGGATTTCTTAGTTAATATCTATTAATAAACAACGAATATAGTATCTTATATGAAAATATTAAAAGTCAAATAATACTAGAAATAGAATAAAGTTAATTTTGTTGTAAGTTGTATTTTTTGTGAAATTTTGGTTAGAATTCTGCCAAACATCAAGAACCGTTAAGCCATTTTTTTTTTGGGACAGTAACACACCGCACCATCTAATTCCATGGTAAGCTACGAGGCTTGTGTTATGGATACTAGATAGTTGATACACTACACATATATAACTTTAAATACATACACATTATAAATATAAACATCCATGACTGGAGTACAAACCTTCGTCATCACACAAATGAATGCCCCCAGCGGGACTCGAACCCGCGACCGCCGGCACAGAAAGTAGAGCCACTACAAACTGAGCCAAACGTGTCGTCATAATATTAATATGGAATAGTAGGATTCATCTAAATATTTTATATTTAAAATATCTGCTCAATTTTTATAATTATTTGTACAAATGATTAATAGGCGAAAAGCAAAGTGGATTCGAGTAACTTGTAAGATTTTCTAACTTAACTTTGAAATGAGTGGATAATTAACAAGAGTATCCAGCCAAATTGGGTTAGTTTAGTACACTTGAGCCTAAGTGCCTTTATTGCTCGATAAATAAGGGATATTTTTATAAGAAGAAATAATTTTTAATAACATTTTGTATTTTCTTACGACTGGAGTAGATTGTGCCTAAAAATATAATACTAATATTTACGTTCATATCACACTTACAAGGTGAGTGTGACTGAAAATTTGTGAATGAATAATAAAAACATATAAAGATCCTAAACGGCGATTTCCATTTTAAATCTTTTCGAATTTTAATAAAGAGTATAAATAATATTTTCTCAATCAATTTTAAAAAGAGGAAGAACTGAATCAGGTTTGTGTGTATGTTTATTTTCTATGATACATGATATCTACCTTAATTGTGAACCAATTTTCATAATTATTTTTATAATGTTATATCTTAAACTTGATCCCATATTCTTTTTAAAGGAAAATATTCACTTAATTATGAAATAATGACTTATAAAGTAATTTGATTTACTTGGTTCGATTACCGACTCAGGTAAGCTTTCAAAAAAAATTGTTTTCTATTTTTAACAATTTATAAAATAATATTTTCAAAAATAATCTTTTATTTTAAAAATTGAAATAACTTTTAAAACCAATTCTTATTTTTAAAAGTAAAAGAATGTTTTCTTTAAGTAAAACTTGTTATTTTCCATATTTGAGGTATTTTTCTTTCATTTCTCGTTGGTTTGTCCTTCTCTGTATGTTAAATATTCAGTTTTATATGAAACTAAAATATCGTCGGTATAATAAAGAAAGAATTTATAGACCTTTTAAAGTCGCTGAGTCTTTCAATCGTGACTGAAGAGGGTATTAGCAGAACATCGAGTGCTTATAATAGCTTGCTCTAATGTTTTACGTACTCGTATTGAAAAGCGCTTTAAAAATTTCTAAATATTAAGAAAAAAATGCATAATTTTATGACCTAGTCCCTAAATCAATATTGGGAAAAATTAAAATTCTTCTCTCTTAAATCTTACACAGTAAA